GATCTCACTCTCACAGTTTCATCTACCATCACTCAGTACCTCGGGCTCAACATCCGAGAAGAGGAGGACGCGATCTACCTAAGCGCCGAGAAATACGCCGACACCATCGCCAAGCGTTTCGCACTTACGCCCACTACCATCTCTACACCGTACCGCTACACGTCAGGAAACAACAAGGAAGGCTCCGCTCTACTCAAGCCCGCCGGCATACGCTGTCAGAATCCCAACCACTAGACCATTGGGATAAAAGGGCTTGTTAAGTAGCGGGTCAGTGCGCCCATAACCCCCCAGGCCAACGTGCTTGTAACCCTTCCCTAGGATCAATCGGGGATCACCAGTGGACCTCTGACACCCCCCCGCACTGGGATGCCCGAAGTGCATACACTGGGATTCGAACCCGAGACCTTCCCTCTGATACCATGTCAGAATCCCAACCACTAGACCATTGGGATAAAAGGGCTTGTTAAGTAGCGGGTCAGTGCGCCCATAACCCCCCAGGCCAACGTGCCTGTAACCCTTCCCTAGGATCAATCGGGGATCACCAGTGGACCTCTGATATACGCGACTACCAGAGGAAGCTGGGCTGCCTTCTCTTCGCTGCCGTCACCTGCCGCCCCGACCTCTCATACTCCGCAAGCCAGCTCGCCACCTACCTCAAGAAGCCTGAAGCAGAACGCCTGGCGGAGCTCGACCGCGCTCTTCATTACTTCGTCAGCACCCCAACGATCGGCCTAAGTTACTACAAGAACGCAACCACACCGACTAAGTTAATCGGCTACGTCGACGCCGATCACGCCGGCGACTCTGACAACAGACGCTCGCGCACCGGCTACATCTACCGCCTCGAACCCATCGGACCTATCTCTTGGCAGTCGAGCAAGCAGGAATTAATTGCTCTCTCGTCAGCTGAAGCAGAATATATTGCACTCTGCTCAGCCACCAAGGAAGGACTCTATCTTCGCGAGCTGCTGGAAGAAGCGAAGTTAGCCGAGTTACCCAACTTTACCCTGTTCTGCGACAACCAGTCGGCAATTCGCATCGCCAACAAGAACGGCTTCGCGAACAGGACGAAACACATCGCCCTGCGATATTTCTTCGTGAAAGACGAGATCGAGAAGGGAAGGCTCGAGCTGTCATACTGTCCCACGTCCGAGATGGCAGCTGACTACCTGACCAAGAAGCTCGGAAAGCAGAAGTTCGAATACTGCATGCTGCTGACTGGACTGAGCCACGTCAGCGACACTCCAGAAGCGAAGGGGAGTGTTGGAAACAATCGGTCTTAAGCACCTCTGTCGTGTCGAAACACTAAGGCATAAATGAGGCAGAGCATATCGAAGCACCGGCGAGTCAACCCTCGGAGGTTGAAGTAACCGCTAGAGGTTACGGGAAGTCAAAGGTCAGCGACCTTTGACCTGACGAATACAGCGCGACAGCAAGGACACACAACTGACTCGCTACAGAGCAGTTGCCCGAGTCGTCACTGTATCGAACCGCAACAGCAACGGTAAAGTAGTTACAACCGTATCTCTTCGTATTCCTTGTACTCTTATATATATATTCTTGTATCTCTTTGTTTTAATTAACTTACTTTGCCCTCACATACTAGCGCAAGGTGGTTCACAACTCTTCAATTAACGCTTCCGCTAGTACACCAACTCTACCCAGAATTCACCCCTGCAAAGATCCTAAGGGCCTTTTTCAGCCCAACATGGTATCAGAGCTATCAGGGGGAATTCAACTTCTATATCGTCAACATCAACAGACATGGCTACACAAAAGGAAAGGAGCAACTCCAACGGCTCCCAGAGCACTACTCCTACTCTACCTCCTGCCTCTGGCCTACAGACAGAGGAGGGCACGGCAACAAGACCCAGAGCAACATCTACCGAGACTCCCGCGAATCAGCCTGCAAACTTCGACCAGAACATGATGGAGAAGTTCTTCTCCTTCATGTCCTTCTACGAGCAACACCAGCAATCGGCACCTGCGCAGTCACACAACAGCAACAACAACGGAGCAACACCCATGAGTCTCGACGGCTCATCATATGCACGAGGAAATCAACAACAGCAGCCTACCTTCGCTCCGTACGAACGCGGGTCCATCAGCTTTATGCCACACCCGCAACCTTCACCTGGACAAGAAAAATCACTGGACGCATTACAAGTTCAGTCGCAGTTCGCACACGTTCTGAAGTTGCAGACATCAAGACCATTCGACGGAAAGGACTTCTTCACCTGGTCGTTTGAATTCGAGCTGATGATGGAAGGCGCGCAGATACTTGGCTTCTTCGACGGGTCCCTGCCATACCCAACAAACGGCACACAGTACGAGAAGCAGCAGTACACCTATCAGTCAATGATGGCGTACACGATTCTACTGAGGAACATCACCCCGACTCAACAGCAGAACATACGATCTTACCGGGGTTACGGTAACTCCGCGGAGCTCGCGTACAACCACCTGAAGAGCCTGTATCAAGCAACAGACAACGTAAGTCAAAGTCGGTTAATGGCGCAACTGACAACAGTTGAAATGAAACCGGGAGAAAAGGGAATGGCATATATCAGCCGCTGTCGCGAACTGCGCGACAAGCTCCTTCGATGCGGAGGGTCGATTTCTGAAGACGCCTTCGTGACAGTCATCATCGGCGGCCTCGGTCCTCAATGGCGCGCCACAAAGGCTATTCTCCGAGCACATGGAAGAATCTCCGAAGCAGCACTCTGCGCCGAAATCCACGCCGAGCAACAAGACATGGACCTGCAAGAAGAACGACACAAAAAAAAGACATCAGCACCGGAATTCGCGTTCCACACTCAGCGACGCTACAACAACAACAACAACCGGCAGCAACAACCGAAGCCAGTACCTCCGTTCTGCCACATCTGCAAAACTTCAGGACACCCGCGTATGCACTGCCCAAATCGTCAACAGTCAACAACTCCACAGCCAACTTCGACCTTCAAGCATCCAAGTTGCCTCAACGCAAGCGAATTCCACGACCCATATTCAAGCCTCAACGACTTCAACGGGACAACCTGCACAAGGAGCAAGAAACATCGTCAGCTGCATGGCAAAGCTGAGTGACTCCTGCATCACCGAGTCACCACCACACTACTCACCAGAAGAACAACTCGATGAAAGAACTCCACGCCGTGAAACACTGGAGCCGAATCCGACATACGCAGCTATCGCCCAGAGCACCATCCGGGAAGGACACGTGGTTCTTGGACAGTTGCTGCGGACAGCACATGTGTTCTTCGGGACGCTTCGTTCAACGAGAACACCAACTTCAACGCGAAGTCGTCATTATAGTCGCCAACAATCAGAACCTGCGAACACGACGACAAGGCATAGTCCAACTTCAGTCAAGGAAAACAAACGTTATACTGCAGATGTCAAAAGTACTAATCGCGGAGGGACTCGGCTACAACTTACTGAGCGTCAGTCAGCTAATGGCGAAAGGGATTCACCTCGAAGCAGACAGCACCACCCAAGAATTCAAACTGTATCACGGGAGAGGAGGACTTTACATCGGTAGGCTGAGAAGACCAGAATGTGAAGGCTGGGTGGGAGGGAAGCAGAGGAGTGAATGCAGAGGAAGGAGTGGAAGGGCCAGTGCTGTAAGCCGTGGCTTACAGGCATTTCAAAGCTTGACAGCCTGCCATCTTTCTCGTCAATCACACAGTTCTGTTCACATTTCAGCTTGCCCCGAGGTGGGCTTGTCCTCAAGTGGTAGGAAGCTGCCCCTGGTTGTGAACCGCAGAAGTACTAATAGTTTGGGTTTACATACATATAACTGTACATCAAGTATCTCACTGCCAGCATCAGCTAGTACACCATGCTCTGCCCCTGCAGCACCCGCTAGTGTGTCGAGCACGTTCATGTGGTTACCGTAACATACATCTCCACACGGCACGGCAGCACTCATGAGTCATGCTGCTGCTCATGCTGCAGTGTACTTGAAGTTCCTAAAGGTCACCACAAACGGCTGCACGCAGCACAGCACACACACGAGGAACCAATCAGAACCCACCTCATAAACGACCCATGGCCAAATGCACACTACACGTTCAGCCTAGAGACGGGAGAAGGGCGCTCACAGCCCTGTGTCAACAGGGATGCACGCCATCCTGGGCCCGGTGGGCCAGGAGGAGGTGCAAGTATGCACGCAGACATGGGAGAAGGGCGCAAGGTAAGGCGCAGATAGGGCGCTCACAGCATAGCTGTAGTCGACGGGGATGCGCGCCGTCCTGGGGCCAGTGGTCCAGTGCGAGGTGCAACCATGAGTGTGGAGCAGACAAAGGATAATGGGCGCACAGAAGGGCGCATGGAACGAGAATGACAGGCGCTCACAGCATAACTGTAGTCAACGGGGATGCGCGCCGTCCTGGGTCCGGTGGCCCAGGTGGAGGCATCCCAGATGCTGAAGTAGACTCGCATGGGGTCCCGCGGGTACGCAGGGTTGCTGCTGCCCATCACCCGCCGCACCTCCCCGTCCACCAGCCACCTGGACGGACACGGGACAAGCGGCATGTATTGGAACACAGGTGTGGATATGTGAACCTATGTGAGCGTATGCCGTGCACTTGCATGGGGTCCCACGAGTAGGCAGAGAAAATACTGCTGCAGCATCTGTAGAAGACACAATGTTGCTGCTGATCATCACTCGCCGCACCTGCCCGTCCACCAGCCACCTGGGCGTGGAGCCAATGACAAGCGGCATGAAAAAGAAGGCAGGTGAGCGTATGTGTGCATACGTGAGCGTGCTTTGTGTGAGTGAGCACAGCCCAGACCAGTAACCAGAACATGCACGGCCCAAGCACGAAAGCATCCATCACACTGACTCTTGCGCATTTACGAAGAATCATGCACAAGACAGCGAGCAGAGGAGTGTGAAACAAGCCCTTACACGGTCTGGTCAGGCCCCCACTGGATGGTGTAGGTGTGGAGGGCAGCAGCAGAGGGGGGGGTGCTATCAGGGGAGCGAGTGTGAGTCCTTACACGGTCTGGTCGGGCCCCCACTGGATGGTGTAGGTGTGGAAGTCAGCCGCGGGGTCGAAGCCAAACGCAGAGAGCTCCTCCTGGCCGCCCGTGCCGCCCATGAAGGCGTTGGTCTGCAGGGTCATGCCCAGCGACGTGTTGGGCGAGCCCAGGAACTCAAAGTCCCACTCGTTGCGCTGCTCGTATGACCCTGACTGCAGCTGTTGAAGGGGTGGGGGAGGGGGGTGGATGGGTCATGTGTGATGTGAGCATGCAGGTGTAAGGGCGTGCAAACGTGCAGGCGAGCAGCACAGCAAGAGGACAGACCCAGCAGGTTACCGTTCTGCCACAAAACCAGCAATGCGAGAGAGCAGCAATGTGAGAGGTAAGAAAGGATGGAAGCAGCAGGTTGGGTTGGGAGGGGCGTACGAAGTAGGTGGCGCAGACGCCAGCAGAGTAGCCGGCCGGCATCTTGGCCTCCACACTGAACGTGCCAAAGCTGTACGCGTCGCTGCACTCAAACCCCGCTCCTGCCACTCATGCGCACACACACACAGCACAGCACAGCACAGGCCAGGCCAGGCCAGCACAGCAAACGCAGGAGGGGTGAAGTAGAAAGATGTGACATGAGGGCTGCATGTAGATTCAGTCACGCTCATGACAGTCACACGCCCCTATAGCTGTGCAGCGTTGGACTCCCCGGTCAGGCGACTGGTGGCGCAGAGGGCAGCTGCTTGTTCCTCTGAGAGGAACAAGAGCTCAAACGACAACCCGCCACTGTGTGTCTGTCCACACGCCCTGCCATCAAGAGAAACAAGATCACTGCCCTCAAGAGAAGCAAGAGCACTGCCCTCAAGAGAAGCAAGAGCACTGCCCTCAAGAGAAGCAAGAGCACTGCCCTCAAGAGAAGCAAGAGCACTGCCCTCAAGAGAAGCAAGAGCACTGCCCTCAAGAGAAGCAAGAGCACTGCCCTCAAGAGAAGCAAGAGCACTGCCCTCAAGAGAAGCAAGAGCACTGCCCTCAAGAGAAGCAAGAGCACTGCCCTCAAGAGAAGCAAGAGCACTGCCCTCAAGAGAAGCAAGAGCACTGCCCTCAAGAGAAGCAAGAGCACTGCCCTCAAGAGAAGCAAGAGCACTGCCCTCAAGAGAAGCAAGAGCACTGCCCTCAAGAGAAGCAAGAGCACTGCCCTCAAGAGAAGCAAGAGCACTGCCCTCAAGAGAAGCAAGAGCACTGCCCTCAAGAGAAGCAAGAGCACTGCCCTCAAGAGAAGCAAGAGCACTGCCCTCAAGAGAAGCAAGAGCACTGCCCTCAAGAGAAGCAAGAGCACTGCCCTCAAGAGAAGCAAGAGCACTGCCCTCAAGAGAAGCAAGAGCACTGCCCTCAAGAGAAGCAAGAGCACTGCCCTCAAGAGAAGCAAGAGCACTGCCCTCAAGAGAAGCAAGAGCACTGCCCTCAAGAGAAGCAAGAGCACTGCCCTCAAGAGAAGCAAGAGCACTGCCCTCAAGAGAAGCAAGAGCACTGCCCTCAAGAGAAGCAAGAGCACTGCCCTCAAGAGAAGCAAGAGCACTGCCCTCAAGAGAAGCAAGAGCACTGCCCTCAAGAGAAGCAAGAGCACTGCCCTCAAGAGAAGCAAGAGCACTGCCCTCAAGAGAAGCAAGAGCACTGCCCTCAAGAGAAGCAAGAGCACTGCCCTCAAGAGAAGCAAGAGCACTGCCCTCAAGAGAAGCAAGAGCACTGCCCTCAAGAGAAGCAAGAGCACTCCCCTCAAGAGAAGCAAGAGCACTGCCCTCAAGAGAAGCAAGAGCACTGCCCTCAAGAGAAGCAAGAGCACTGCCCTCAAGAGAAGCAAGAGCACTGCCCTCAAGAGAAGCAAGAGCACTGCCCTCAAGAGAAGCAAGAGCACTGCCCTCAAGAGAAGCAAGAGCACTGCCCTCAAGAGAAGCAAGAGCACTGCCCTCAAGAGAAGCAAGAGCACTGCCCTCAAGAGAAGCAAGAGCACTGCCCTCAAGAGAAGCAAGAGCACTGCCCTCAAGAGAAGCAAGAGAAGCAAGAGCACTGCCCTCAAGAGAAGCAAGAGCACTGCCCTCAAGAGAAGCAAGAGCACTGCCCTCAAGAGAAGCAAGAGCACTGCCCTCAAGAGAAGCAAGAGCACTGCCCTCAAGAGAAGCAAGAGCACTGCCCTCAAGAGAAGCAAGAGCACTGCCCTCAAGAGAAGCAAGAGCACTGCCCTCAAGAGAAGCAAGAGCACTGCCCTCAAGAGAAGCAAGAGCACTGCCCTCAAGAGAAGCAAGAGCACTGCCCTCAAGAGAAGCAAGAGCACTGCCCTCAAGAGAAGCAAGAGCACTGCCCTCAAGAGAAGCAAGAGCACTGCCCTCAAGAGAAGCAAGAGCACTGCCCTCAAGAGAAGCAAGAGCACTGCCCTCAAGAGAAGCAAGAGCACTCCCCTCAAGAGAAGCAAGAGCACTGCCCTCAAGAGAAGCAAGAGCACTGCCCTCAAGAGAAGCAAGAGCACTGCCCTCAAGAGAAGCAAGAGCACTGCCCTCAAGAGAAGCAAGAGCACTGCCCTCAAGAGAAACAAGAGCACTGCCCTCAAGAGAAGCAAGAGCACTGCCCTCAAGAGAAGCAAGAGCACTGCCCTCAAGAGAAGCAAGAGCACTGCCCTCAAGAGAAGCAAGAGCACTGCCCTCAAGAGAAGCAAGAGCACTGCCCTCAAGAGAAGCAAGAGCACTGCCCTCAAGAGAAGCAAGAGCACTGCCCTCAAGAGAAGCAAGAGCACTGCCCTCAAGAGAAGCAAGAGCACTGCCCTCAAGAGAAGCAAGAGCACTGCCCTCAAGAGAAGCAAGAGCACTGCCCTCAAGAGAAGCAAGAGCACTGCCCTCAAGAGAAGCAAGAGCACTGCCCTCAAGAGAAGCAAGAGCACTGCCCTCTATTCGCACCTCCCGTGCGGTCGAGCGTGAGCGAGATGGCCCCGCCGTCCTGCACGCCCACGTTCTGCATCGAGTTGAAAATCACACGGCTGCCGAACGCCGCCGCGCCGTCCGATGCCGCGCCGCCGGCCTGCAGCAGCACGCGTCGGGACGACGCGATGGACGGCCAGGATAGGCCGAGAAGAGCCAGGCCTAGAACGAGCAGCGCAGCAGGGGAAAGAGAAAGCGACAATGCTGAGGGCGGGGAGCGGCGAGAGGCCATGGTGGTGGCGGTTTGAGTCGACTCGTAGCAGCGCAGGGGGTGAGGGGGGAGAGGAGAGGGGGGGAGAGTGCAGCGCGGCAAGGGGAGTGAGATCGAAGACGGCGAAGGCGTCGCGTGGCGAGAGGCGATGGTGGTGGCGCTGCGTGACGATGACGGCTCGCTCTGCCGCGCGCTTGTGACGGCCGATCCTGGTGAAGTGACGGACGGGAGCGCAAGCTGGCGGTGAAGCTGATGGCAAATGGAGAGGATGGAGGGCGAGTTATATGGACACGGAGGAGATCCGAGCGTCGGCCTCAACGACTGACGGGAAAACAATCTGACGGTTAAGATGTCGGTGAAGCTGACGGTAAAGCTGACGGTAATATATAGGCACGGCGGAGATCTGAGTGTCGGCCTCAACGACTGACGGGTTCGAGGCACTTGGGTGGAGGCGAGGGATTCGAGCCAACGCGTGCGATTCTGACCATCCGATGAAAAAGTACTCCGCGTTCCAGACTGTAAGTGCCTCGTTTTGCCTAGACGACGCCATTGGATTGAGGCCGAAAGAAGGGACGACGGATGAATGGGAGGCAGGGATAGGCGCGACACGGAGAAGCCTAGTGAAAGTTGATTCAGGTGCATGAAGTCGATATTCACAAGGAAGATATCAACGGAAATGTTGTTATTTAAATGTTTAAAAATTTACTCTATGTACACTGAGTGCACGGGTGTTTGGTCTAGTGGCATGATTCTCGCTTAGGGTGCGAGAGGTCCCGAGTTCAATTCTCGGAACACCCCTTTTTTGCATGGCACCTACGAAAGGGAAAACATAGAAGAGGGGCCTAGGCCCTCACCTTCACGTGACCATTCCTCACCTACCTCATCCCCTCCAATCACCACAGTAGACGCACCCGATTCCATGGCTCTTGCTGACGACTCGCACCCGCTAACACAGTACGAAACCGTTCCTTCCCCGCAACCCCCTCCTCGCTCTTCTACCCCTCCCCATCCCCCTCCCACATCCCCCCTACTTCCCCTACTGCGCCTTCGCTCACCAACCCTCCTCCTGCCGGCCGTTCTTTATCCTGCCCTACATGGCAGCGTCTTTACGCTAATGCTAGTTTCTTGACTCACCATACCGCCTCCTGCGAGCAAAATTCTGCTGCAAGACAGCAAGTTGCGTGTCCTCCTCCTCGTCCCGCCCCTCCTCGCGCTCAATATGCAATTGCACAGTCCTCTTTTCCGCCAGCAATCCCTTCTGCCACCCGGGATGCTGTCCTCGAGTGGGATTGGCCTGCTTTTTTCAGCCCGACACTTTTGCATGGGCACATCATCCGCCACATTCCTTCGCATTCGCCTTTTCGTGCTTGATGCCTTGATTATCCCCCTTCGACTGCTTGCACATCATCCTTCTGGCCCTGCTGAACTCCTTATCTTGCTGGCTTTCACGCGCCGTGTCCTGTGCTTGAATGCTGCTGCCAATTCGCAAACGCTTACTGCAGCATGCGCCCTCCTTGCTCAACGCTTTATCTGCGAGGACTGGCACGCGCTTTTCCCTTGAAGCCTTTGCTGCTGCCACCCCTGCTGGTCGCTCTCACCCTTGTTTCAGCACGCTCTACAGCCCAGGCACGCATCCATCGCGCAGCGCGCTTTGCCAAGTGCGGCGACTGGTCCCGCTCACTAGAGGCGCTTGAAGGGGGCGAGCTTGCACCTCCTTCTCCTAGCATCCGCCTGCCCCATAGCCTCTTCCTTTGTGGGTAGACTCTTTCACCTTAGACTCTTATCCACAACTGTCAGCCTCGCTCCTCCACTTGGCTCTTCAATCAGCCTCACAGGTAATTGTTGTTGGCTCGTCGTGTTGGCTGATTGAGCATCTCAGGGACACATTCCTCACTTCCCAGGTGCACCTTCCCTCCCTCCTCCACCTCTTCCAAAACTGTCTGCAAGGCGAACTTCCGCTCTCAGTCCGCTCATACCACATCGCATCTACTCTTGTCGGCCTTAAGAAACCGCAGGTTGGAGTTTGGCCGATTGCTATTGGAGAAGTTTTCCCGCGTCTTCTTTCCCGTTGCATCACCCTGTTCAAGCGGCAGATGCGAGACACCTTCCTCCCTTGCCTTCAATTTGGGGTCGCTGTTCCTGCTAGCATAGAAGTGATGGCGCATTCTGTACAATCCGTTCTTCCTCGATTCATTTGCAGCCTCTTTTCCTCTCCAACAACTTAACGACCCTCAAACCGCATCCCGTCTCCTCTCACCGTGCGTCTCATTCCGTCCTTCCTTCCTCCTTCGAACTGTTTCGCCATTCCCAGAGATGCGTGACCTCTGCAGCTCTTGAGACTCTACCATCCTAGACCACTACTCCCAGCTATTTGGCCCTGGTTACTGGATTCCACACACAAAGTCGACTAAGACGGTGCAGCTGCAAGTATTCCTCCCTATTCGCCTTGGGGGTTTAAGCCTTCGTTCCTTCGCCTCCGCAGCACCTCTCAGCTACCTTTGCAGTTGGGCTCAATCGCTTTGATTAATGTCCACACACTTCATCACGGACGGCTCGCCGATTTTCCGCCCCTTTCTCTCTGCTGACTCCATTCCCCGCTTGGACGAGTTATTCAGCTGCCACTGCCATGCTCCCGAAAGAAGTTCGTGGTCGTTTCCCTTCCTGGTCTCATCTTCTACCCGGCTACCCTCCTAAACTCTTCACACAACTCTTGCATCAGCTTGATGCTTCTTTGCTTGAGAAATTTCGCGGGATTGTCACCTCCCCTGTTCGTATGACCCGTTTAACCTCCCTGCAGGGCACGGCTTACTGCGGTTCCTTCTTCGCCTCAGTTATAGCTCACTGAATTCAAATGGCGCATCGCTGCTGCCATCCATTCCTCACCTCAGCTCCGCCGAATCTTGCGCTTGTGGACAATCGTTCTCAGACTCTTCCCTTCCATCCCATGCCCTTCGCTGCCCCAAGAACAATGAGCTAAGTAATAAGTGTACGACGCCATCAAGCACGAACTGCACGACGCCATCAAGCACGAACTGCACCACACTGTTAGAGGGCCCTACGACAGCAACGGCCCTCGCGATATTCCTGACTTGGCAGGTTTGTGACCGACTAAGCAAGACTACGAGCAGCTCAGCACTAACCCTATGATTTGGCAACGGTTGTGTGTTGACGATGAATGACTACGACAACTCTAATGAAGTCATTGCTGGGGTGGCGATAGCTTAGGGAAGTCGTGGGTATGCTTCTTGGGAAGTGCGTGATGGTCTTTCAAGTTGTGGGTGGTTCTTTGTGAGTCACAACAGGCGTGCACTGCATTGACTTCTCTGCTGAGTTGGGTTGGGATTGAGCGAGGCGCGCTCACCCACCCACACAACACTTTTGTGGGGTTAGGTTACCCTGCAGTGCCACGCAACGTTGTGTGAACTCTAGTCTGCCCATATAATTTGCTTGTATGAACTTCATAACATGATTACAATCTCTACTTGATTTCTTCCTTAGTCATTTAGAGACAAACTCTACCAAAGTGCTAGCACGATACTATTATCATGGCCAAAGCTCATCATCGTTATCATAGCGCTCTCTATTCTAATCCTTCATGGTGCGCTGAGCGCGAACACGAATAGTTTTTCGTCGTCGTTACATTATCGTTCGTATACTCGCCTTTACGATTGTGATGCCAGTGAAGGGCGCTTATTAATATAAGTTGAACCTCTCTTAACGTCCCTCCAGTTACGCTCTCGGACCCAATGATAGGGCGTTTGGTAGTTCATTACCACTCGTCTGAGGACCCTTGTGGCACCTTATTGAGGCGTCGTAGAGGATGAGAACGGAGGAGGCGGACGTTGAGGCCGGTATTTTTCGCGCACTGGAGGAGGATCTCGTGGATCGTAATTCTCGTGGTGAGCTTAGTGATGTTGAACACGAGCTCATGTTGGAGGGATTGCACCCTCGTCGGCGTCGTAATCATCCCTCACCACGAATGTTGAGCAAGCTGCGAGAGGAACTAGTACGTGGGATATGGCTGTCGATGACGGAGATCGCGATGACGATGAGCTTGATTGCTAGGGTCCTGCTGTCAACGGGAGTTGTATGTTGGCCCCGTCCTCGCTTGGGCGGAGCCGACTTCGTGGTCGGGTGTGAGGGGAGCAGCCGACCTGCAGCAGTGGGCGAGCTGGTTGACGAGGAGGTCGACCTGCACGGGGGCCACTGCACGAGCGCCGACTTCAGGGAGGTCGACCTGCGGAGAACGTCAACTGGGTGACGTCAACTTGGGGCAGCCGACTTGGGTGGTCGGCTGACAAGACCTGCTGGTCGACTTGCTGGTGGTCGACCTGACCTGGTGGTCGACGAAGGAGGGGCCGACGTCGACCTCGACTCAGGACGCCGAGCAGTTGGGCGTCGAGTAGCGGGGCGTCAACTTCGTGACGCCGGCTTCGGGTGGCCGACTTGGGGGTCGGCCGACAACTGCGCTGGTCGACTTGGTGGTTGGTCGACCAGGACTGCTGGTCGACGTGATGCTGGTCGACCAGGAGGGACGTCGACCTAGAGCTGGTCGACCAGGGGGCGTGGTCGACCTGGTGAGGTCGACGTGGAGGTGGTCGTCGACCTGGGAGGTCGACGGGCACGTACGGGAGCTGCTGGTCGACGTGGTTGCCCGGTCGACCAGGTTACCTGGGTGACGAGGTTCTGCGGAGGAGTGCGACGGTCGCCCAGGCGAAGTTGGCGAGCCCGACCTCGGTGGTGGTATCCCGAGGTCGACGTGGCCGATCAGAAGCAGACGTCAGTAGGAGGTTGACGTGGTGCGTGCGCTGTGCAGGTGACGAGACTCTGCACGCCAATCATCTGCGCACACCTGCGAAGCGGGTGCGCTGCTGTTCTGCGTGAGCAACGCTGGCACGCCGTCAACCTGCGACGTTGGCACGCCGTCGACCTTGCACTGCTGGAGCGCGGTCGACCAAGTCGTGCTGGAACGCGGTCGACCAAGCTGCGCTGGCAGTTGGCCGACCTGAATGCTTGCTCTGATGTAGTATTGCTATGCCAACTTCATTGTACCATTGTTCTGAACTTTTCCTAGTGGAACTCTTGCCAACTTTCCCCGTGAACTAGCAAGTAGTGTGCGCACAAGGAAAACGACTAAGGACTAACGAACGCAGAGATCACACGAGCACCCGTGCCTAGCCCGTAGTCTAGCTCCCGTTGTACAAGTTATCTCCGCATGGTGCGGTGAGCGTGGACGACACCGCGACGTAGTTCAGTCTAGCCGACTTACCGATCGTGTTCGTAGACCGGCAGCCGTGCAGTCACTAGCGTGCGCGTAGGCGACGCCGAGGTGATGGACACCCTGGAGGGACGGCTGGAGGATGCGAGGAGACGCCATGAGGCCCAGGAGTACGGGGCGATACCCTGGGCTGTCGTCGAGGCAGGACTCCGCCACATGTGGGCGGCGGAGCACCCCCCTTCTCGGCCTGCCTCTCCTCGACCGGTGAACAACGACGGCGGCGTCGACGTGGACGTCAACGCCGGGGGAGGCCAGGTCGGCAGCAGTGCGGG